AACAACAAGTACTATATACTCATATAAATTTTTTGAGATTTCACATATTTATTTACTTAGTTATTACAGTATAAACTTACAAGAAAATAAAGATTGAATCTAACTCTACCCTAAAAATTAGCTCAAGAGTCCAAAATTATATAACAAGACAAATAATACCCTTCCCAACTGATGTGGAAACTCAATACCCACTGCATCCCCAGGATATATATGGAGGGTGATAATATAAGATAGGAATTCAACATCTCGAGATAAACCACAAATTGAGATGTGCATGATTTTGAACATAAAAATATATTAGGCTTAACTCATCAACCTCAAAAGCTAGTTTAAGAAAAGTAATGATTTTCCAAAACTATATAATATAATTAATAATACCATTCTCAACAGATCGATGTGGGAACTCAACATGAATTCGGAAAACAAATACACAAACATTGAAACCCTAGAAGTTTATTATTCCCTTCATCCAAACATATTTTAGTAAGCTTTTCAATTTCAACATTCAACGTGGCAAATTGAAGACAACAAGATTTAAACGATTATGCACATCTTTAATTTAACACCACAAGATTCAAAAGTTTCTCAAACTTGTGTCCAGTCAAATTAAAACGAAAGAAGTAGTCATTCCGGAGGTAGAAAACCAACCTCTTTTCCCTGATGGAGTATCTGTATAGTGAAAAGGAACTGAGATATTGACACGGCTCAATCAAAGCAAAATAGTGTGTGTCTGAGTGAACCAGGCCAATATCAGAGTTACTATTTCATAGAGAAAGAGAAATGTTCTCTTGTTGAGTGCAAAAGCAAAGTAACAAAAGGGGGTTTTTGGAAGAGAATTGATGAATTGTGAATGTGTTTAAGAAGAGATATACTATGTGGAGTGCATTTAAAACCTTGCACTACCAAAGCAGAAAGAAGGGGCCACTGCATTTAACTATAGTAACAGCTTTTCACTCTGCAGGTTTGGTGCATGTTAACTCTGCTCTGCTCATTATCATCATGCTTTCACATTTTCATATATCTTAGATTCGGATTCAGAATTTAAATTTAATAAGTTTAAACGTTTAGTCCGTCACTGTGAAAAGAGGGAGGGAAAACTCACTTTTTCTTTGTTTCAAATCTCTCTCATGCATTAATGCATTTATGAAAGGGGGAACAGAGAAGCAGAGAGGGATCGCATATAGGCATAGGCCACTACCACAGAAATTTAATGTCAAACTAACTATCCAGAGCCACAAAGAGGAATTAAACAATATTGCATTGAGACATATTTTAATAAATTTATTTGATCAAATTTTTAAAATTAGTTTGTGTTGGAAAAATAAGATAATATCTCAAAAAGAAATGTTTTTATTAATAAATATTAATTATTATTATTATATTAAACTTTATTAGTATTTTCATTATATTGTTTAATGGCCAAACAGTTTTTTTGTCATTAATGACAATGAAGAGCTATAATGATGATAAATGTTTTGACCATGATTAATGTTGGAACGTTATTGTTTGGGTTGTTAATTTTTTTCAACAGTCACTTTTGGTTGAGTATATATATACATATATATTATCTTCATCCACTTTTAATCATCATAATTATTTTTTTAAGAGTTAAACTATAAAAACTTTGACTAACATTTTATATATGTAGTATTTTTCATCATATTGATATGCAAAAAATTGCAACTTATATATAGTACTTTTCGTATAGTTTTTGAATATCTAAATTTTTTGTTTAAAATATCGAATTAATGTAATCTAATTTAAATTTAAAAATTAATCAAATTAACTTTTGAAATGCGCAACATGACAAATAAAAGTGGACATAGAGAGTATCTTCTATCCCTTGAGGAGAGATGGAGATGGAAGTGATCAAGAAAACATAACAAAACAAGTTTTTCTGACTACCTAATTATATATTCTAGTGCTGGATTTTATACTTTGATTGAATCTTTGTTAGTTACTGACTTTTAGTTTTATATTGGAAGAATTTGTTGAATTTTGAGGAATATATCTATATCGGGTGAAATATCCTTAAGGACAATATCTTTCGACACGCCTCAAGCTTGGAGAATTTCCTACAATTTAAAGTATAAGCCTGGGTGAATTATGTATTAGACTTTTGACTTGATTTATGAGTCAAAAGCTAGTCATAAATTAAAATTTTCAACTTATGGCTTATGACTTATTTTTACCATGTTAGCTTAAAACTAAGTGCTTATAAACACTTCTTTAAGTTATTCAAACACTCCAAAAGTGTTCTAAAGTTATTTTGGCTTAAAAACACTAAAAATAGATCAATCCAAACGAACTCTCAATCTTGAGAATAATATTTTTTGACATCTCATTTTAGTAGAAACATCTTGAATATTACATTGCATACGCATAGTGCTAAAAGCTTAACTAATATTTTATCGGCGAAAAATGTAAAATTATATGTGAAAGAAATACTTAGGGTGTGTTTGGTATGAAGGAAAATGTTTTCCTGAAAAACAAGTAGATTTTTGACTTATTTTCTCATGTTCGGTTGGTGAGTAGAAAATATTTTTCAGAAAAAAATTTTAGTGTTTGATTTATGAATGAAAAATGTTTTTGAGAAATATCTTTTATTTTTACTAGAGTAGAAAATATTTTTTGAAATTGAAAATATTTTTTAAAAACAAACTTAATTAATTTTTTTTTGGGGGGGCTGGTA